GGCTTGGGCAATCGCTGACTGTCGTCCCCTTCGCGTCGCATGCAAGCGGCTCGTCTTGTAGTGCCGTTACCGACGAGTCATGTTAGCCTTGACGCTAATTCCCCGCTGACATTACTACCTGAATGTCCTTCGAGGCGTTGTCTCCTACGTACTTCGATGATGGTCTTTGAGTTGCTAGGATTGCGCGCCCTTCAATCACGACGCGGGCCCGTCAATGGAATCGTGGTATTGAAAAGGGATTGTACTCGCGCACCGCACAGTCATGCGAGACGTGGACGCAGAGCACGTAGCGGACGCCGGAAAACACCCACCAGCGCTCCGTTTTCGGGTCCAACGTCACCCAGTTGGCGTACACGCCAACTTCGACTTGGAGCGTGTGGTTTCCATTCCAGGAAAGCCAGTCGGGCTTGATCGCGCCAATGTCGTGCGTCGGGGAAAAGCTGCAGTCCGGCTCGATCTTCGGTAGCGTGATCGGCGCGTCGGTCGTGTCAATGTACGCGCTGCCGCACGACACGAGATGCTTGCGCCCCGTCCCCGTCGCCTCGAGGATCGCGGAATTGATGCCGCCAGCAAGGCCGCAGTGTACGCCCTTGTTGAGATCGACAATGTACACAACGCCGTCGTGCCACTCCAGGTTGCGCGACTTGAGGTCTTGGTCCTCCGACGCGATGTACACGTCAAAGTCAGTCTCGGTCATGGAGCAGAGCGGACACCCCGCGTTGCCCGGCACCTCGAGCGCCGCCTCGAGTGCTGACCAATCCAAGGCCTCGATGCTGCGGTTGACATCGCCGACGGGGCCGACGCGCGCTTGGGTGTCTTCTGTCGTCGTCGCCATGCGTCTCCCAACGGTCCAATTCGGTTGTGGTGGGAGGTCCGGATGCGCATGACGTGGCGTCGTGTTCTGTCGATACACAACGGGGTTATCCGGATAAGGGTGCAAAGTGGGATCCTGGCCGTCGTCGACCACCCCCCGTATTGACCGCCGAGGCGACAATACCGTATATATTCGCGCTAAATTGCTAGAGGATAGTGTACTTTTAGTCTTAGGGCGATGCGCTGTCGTGGGGAAGGAGCTGGCGCCATTCCGATGGCGCGACGCGTGTGTCAAAGATCGGGGTGCCAATGACACCGCGAAGCGCCCGGTCGTCGTTGTCGTCTGTGTGCTGGAATCGTGACAGCGCGTCGTCGACGCCAAAGAAGCGCGAGTCGCCGCGGGGCACGCGCATTTTTCCGTCGCCGGTCGTCGGCACAAACGACGAGTACGCGTCGCCGTACGCCTTGGTCCACGCAGTGCACGTTTCGACGTAGGCAGTCGCCGCGTCGGTCTCGGTCGCGGACGCAACGACCCCACCGGCAACCGTTGTCGAGTAGACGACGTAGGCCGACGGTTGCGTCCGGTGGGCGCACCACGCGACGGCAATGTCCAGCGTCGGTGTCAGCGGTGTCGTCGTCGTTCCCTTGTGCAGCGCCATAAACTGTTCGTAGCGCGCCACGGCCGCCGCCGCGATTGGTGGCGTCGTCCAGTAGGCGTCGTGGGCCAAAAGGACGCCGAGAAGTCGCAGCTCTTGGACCATGGCGCGCACGAGATCGATCGGAAAGGCGCCAAGTGCGTTGGCGCGAATCGCCCCCGTCTTCGACAGCACTTGCTCTTTCAGCGCATACGCTTCGATGCGACTTAGTGGCGGCTTGGTCTTGGTGCGCGCATCGATGCAGCCAATGAGCGTTCGGAGGTATGTCTCCCAGCAGCCATCGATCGGGAGATCCCGGGGCACCGCGAGTCGACTCGTGACTTCCTTTTGCGATGTAAAGTCACTGATCCACTCGAGGTACGGGTGCTCGCGCTGGAAGAGCGCAATCTGAAACGTTTCGTACCGAAGTGTATGGTTGCAGCTCGGGCATACCACGGCGTCGTTGCGTACGTGGAGCGCATACAAGCGGCGCCGATCCAACGGATGCTTGCAGTGCCGGTGCGGGCACTGCGCCAAGACGTCCTGCAGCGGCATGTCGAACGCCGTCGTGTCGAACCGGCGCTTGTAGTACGTCTGCACGTCGACGTACTCGTTGCAATGCCCGCACTGCGCGGTCTGGTTGCGCTGGTACATGATGCGCGCCTTCCACGGCTCGAGCTCGCGCTTGCAAAAGACGCAAACGCCGATGACGTCGGCCGATGACGCAGCGCAAGACGGGTTGTGCCCCAGCGCAAAGTTGAGTGCGTCGAGCTGATACGCGAGGTGCGGAAATGAGTCGATGACGCAGGGCGTGTCATCGCGGTACGTAGCGACGTACGTGGCTTCGAGGTCGAGAAGCTTGGCGTACAGCGCCTCGGGCGACGCGACGCCAGCGATGTCCCGGTCGTAGATCCGCTTGAGACGGCCTATGTAAGCCTCTATATGCGCGGGAGTGAGGCCGCTGGATGGGACGCAGTGATGCTTGGCCCGCTCCGTCACGGTGGCTGCAACGCACAAAAGACGGTCGGCGTCCGAGAAGGGCGGAAGGGCGTACCGGTCGCTCGTTGCAGCAGCCTCCAAGATGGTCTTGAGCCGCGCATGGAGAATCGCATTGGCAACGAGGATGCGAAGTGTCTTCTTCGAGGCAAAGCGCAGCTCGAGCAAGAAGGGACGGGTCGGAAGCGCCGCCATGACGTGGCACTGCGCCATGTCATGCGTCTCGCGGAGAGCAGCGCCGTCATAGAGCGCGAGCGTTTGGCCTCGTAGCACCAAGTGCCTGGGCGCATGGCGCCGGAGCACGCGCGTCTGGGTGCACACGTCGACGCTGTACTCGGCCATCGTCAAATCAGAAATACGCAACGAAGTTGCCCTTTTGGTTTCTTGAAGCCCATCACAATCTTGGCGTTGTGATTGGCGAAACGTTTCAATTGGTTGAAATGGTGAAGTGTGGGTGATCTGATTGGCTTGTTTTGCTGAAATGTGAGAAGGTAAACCAGCTGCCGTCGCTGGTTGCTGCAGACAAAGCATGCCGGTGGCCGCAGAGGGAGGAGGCCGTGGATATTGCGCTTAGATATTCCTCAATAACCAAGGTCCAGCACCGAATGAAGCCAACGGCACGATCGTCCTGGCCGTTTAAAGACAGGTACAACGACGTGGCCCTCGTTGGACACACGGAAAAACCGAGCTTCAGGCTGAAGTGCCACGCGAAAGACAGCGAAGTCCACATCACTGCCAGCGACGTCTACTCCCATTGCCTCGTAACGTTGGAATGAAATGGGTTTTCAGTCACTAGACCCAACGAGGCTTGGGAAGGTCTCCATCTTCGTCTCGAGGTCACTGGACCTTGCACGCTTGAGACGGCGCGATGGTGGAGGAGTCGCTGGCTGGTTTGTACGAGTAAGAAAGAATACACTGTCGAGTGGATGCAGTAAACGTTATCAAGCACTCTTTTGACCGTGTCATCGATCTACTGACTGTGAAAGTGCGCGAGCGGCCCCGTTGCTTTGGTGGCGGCTTCGATGGTTCCGACGAGCTATGCACGTTCGTTAGCGCATCGTGTCACGCAGCAGAGGACGGACTCGTTCGCGTACGATAAATGCGCCCAACGACGAGACGAGCCACGCGACAACGACAAACGCTGCGTAGTACTACCACCAAACATCGGCTCCATATACTAGTATTTGGTAGAAATCAGAATACCTGAACCCAGCCCATTTGGAGGCGCTCATAGAACGTCGGAAGGTACCTACAGCACATTGGTGGTCGTCCCTGATGGTATAGAAAAAGGACTACGAAATGTCGGTGACGGGGACACTCAGCGTCGCGTTCATGACAAACCGCCGCGGGTCCACACTGGCATCTTGGATCCACACATGCTCTTGGTTGGTCACATGGGCTCGGTCTACGGCCCCGATGACGTCCGTCCATTTCGTCAGCATGAGGCAACCTACTCTCACGACGGGTCTGCCGCAGCATGAACTGCTCGAGCCGCAAGTCGTCGGCGTGGTGGAGCGACGACACGTTCAGCAGCGCGTCGGCTGCATACGGCATCGCACACCTATATAATGCGATCGTCCATCAGATCGTCGAGGCTCCGCTTCTATCGTTAGAGTACGTAGTCGTGAGTGGCAACGGCCGCTTGAAGCTCAGCGCGAGATCGCCCACGGTGTAGAGAACGCTGCCTGGCAGCGGCGACGCATGCGAGACGAGTGCCATGACGTCCATACTCAGCTGGGCGTGCGTCTAAAACAATAATACTACTATAGTCGACCGAAGGACTCATTGCCGTCGACCTGGACCGTCGCGTTGAAGATCACAAGCAAGGACGCTTTGTGGACGCTTTCGCCTGCATGCACTGCGATCGCCACCTCGATCGAGACGCGGTCCAGAAGGCCATCGCGGTTGTCGTCGTCGAAAAACGACTGAATTTGCCCCGGGCGCAGCGCGTCGCCCGCGAGTTGGTTGACGTTCGTCGGCAGCGTGCTCCAAAAGCCAGAGAACACGCTCTCTTTGCCATCGTCGTCACGCGCCGTGCCCTCGATGAGAAGCAGCGTCTGGTACATGTACTGCACGTGCGGCTGCTCGCGATACGCGACGGACCGAGGCCAGAACGCTACGCAGCGATGGAATGTCAGGAGTCGTCGATCGTACGATCGGCCCACTCGATGCATCGTAGACGAGAAGGAGCGGCAAGAGAAGCGTCGTGAGCCACGCTAGCCACGACAGGAGGTACGCGGGTGAGCACACGTTGCCATAGTAGACGCGCGCGACGGGCTCGTGGTACACGGGCCGCATCCGCAAAGTGCCCTTTCAAGATCGGCCTCCGGATTGCATTACATCACGAGCAACACCGTCCGCGAGCTATGCGGAGGAATGCGTCTCGTCGTGGACCACCATGACGACATGCGGGGACTGTGGCAGGAAGGATTCCCGCCAAACATTCTTGTCATGCAATGGCCTGCACAGCGATCGACGCCTCTCGTACCCAGGACCGTTCTACAGTACTATACGGTGCCAACGGACGCATCCGCGCCAACGAGCTTCCACCTCGTGCATGGCTGCAGACAGCAAAGACAACGCTAGTGCCGGTAGACATTGGCTCGACAGCTGCTACCGAGGCCGACTGCTCGCTCTGCGCTTGTAGCTTCTTGATGGCGCCATGCCATGCACGCGCCGCCATCTCCCTCGCATCTTGCCCCAGCGGCCAACTTGAAGTTGCCTTTCACTGTCGGCGCCGAGGACGCGATCGCGGCGGTAGTACGTGCCACGTCATCGCCTCGTATACGCGAGCGAGGATCGGGTTCAAGGCTTGAGCGCGTCCACCCGCCGGACGCGGTCGCTCGTCGCGTCCTGGCCCGTATCCTGTCCGTGGTGCTGATTGGCTGCGTCGGGCCCAACGACTGGAAATTCGGGTGCGCCATCCGGATTGGCCAAATAGGTTGCGACGTCCGCCAATGGCATCGTCGCATTCGAAATCGAACGCGTTGGTTGGCTCGCACGGTGCAAGGTTTGCGAGCCATTCAAGCTCCACCGAGCGCGGTGGCTCTCATCTCACACTCAGATTTCCATCACTATGGCCAAGAAGCAAGCTAAGCCCGTGCCCGTCGCTGCCAGCAGCAGCTCGGACTCGTCGTCCTCGTCCGAGGACGAAGCCCCCAAGAAGGCCGCCCCGGCCAAGAAGGCCCCGGTCAAGAAGGCCGCTTCGTCGTCGTCGGAGTCCGAGTCGTCCTCGGAGGATGAGGCCCCCAAGAAGAAGGCCGCCCCGCCAAGAAGTCGCCGGTCAAGAAGGCCGCGCCCGCCAAGAAGGCCGACTCGTCGTCGTCGGACTCGTCGTCGGACTCGGAGGATGAGGCCCCCAAGAAGGCCACGCCGGTCAAGAAGTCGCCGGTCAAGAAGGCCGCGCCCGCCAAGAAGGCCGAGTCGTCGGACTCGTCGTCGGACTCGAGCTCGGAGGATGAGGCCCCGGCAAGAAGGCTTCGCCTGCCAAGAAGGCCGCCCCTGCCAAGAAGGCCGAGTCGTCGTCGGACTCGAGCTCGTCGGAGGATGAGGCCCCGGCCAAGAAGGCCGCGCCCACCAAGAAGGCCGAGTCGTCGTCGTCGGATTCGTCGTCGGACTCGTCCTCGGATGAGGAAGAGACCCCGGTCATCAAGAAGCGCAAGGCCTCGGAGGCCTCGGAGCAGCCCGCCAAGGTCCAGAAGGCCGCCGACGGCTCGGCCAAGGCCGTCGACGCCGGCTGCGCCGAGATCTTCATCGCCGGCCTCCCGTGGGTCGTCGACGAGAGCGAGCTCCGCGCCATCTTCGAAACCTCGGGCACCATCACGGCCATCCGCTTCCCGGTGGCTGCCGATGGCCGCTCGACCGGTACGGCGTTCATCACGTACAGCAGCGCGGATGAAGCCGCCGCCGCCCTCGCCCACGACGGCGCCGACTTCGGCGGCCGCTGGATGAAGGTCCGCTCGGCCGAGAAGAAGAACCAGCTCGAGGAGAAGCCCGAGGGCTGCGTGTCGGTGTTTGTCGGCAACCTCAGCTGGAACATTGACGAAGACACCATGTACGCCACCTTCCAGCACTGCGGTCCCATCGCGCACGTCCGTCTCGCCACGGACCGCGAGACGGGCGAGTTCCGCGGCTTCGGTCACGTCGACTTCGAGACGACGGAAGCCGTCGACGAGGCTGTCAAGCTCGGCGGCACGGACGTCCTCGGCCGTGCGATCCGCGTCAACTACGCTGCCCCCAAGCCGGAGCGCTCGTTCGGCGGTGGCAACGGCGGTGGCCGTGGCGGTGGCTTCGGCGGCCGTGGTGGCCGTGGTGACGGTGGCCGTGGCGGTGGCCGTGGTTTCGGCGGCCGTGGTGGTCGCGATGGTGGCCGCGGCGGTCGTGGCGGTGGCTTTGGCGGCCGTGGTGGCCGTGGTGCCGGTGGCCCCCAAGCGCCAGTCGTCGTCGATCCAGAACTTCCAGGGCCAGAAGAAGACTTTCGACTAGATTTTTTGAGACAAACCTGCTAGACCCTATCTTACTCCACCCTTTTTCTTGACATAATGATATTTCCTTTTACATTCTATAATATGACAACTTGCAATTCTTCACCACCTCCGTAGAGATGTGACCACCTCGAGTCAGTCTCTTGACAGAGAGCAACCATGGTGGCTTCTACAGCGTGCAGTTCGGGGTGCAATCGAACGCCGCACCTCTCCAGCGTCTACAACGGTGTCGGCACGGACGCCGTCTGCAAGGAACTCGATCGACCCAAAGCTCTCGGTTGATATTATTGCACTTGATTTGTTGAAACTTGGAGCTAGTCTTTTCGGCGCCGCTTCGAGTCCTTCTTGTGCTTCTTGGTCTTCTTTTCCTTCTTGGCCTTTTTTTCCTTCTTGGCTTTGTGGTGCTTGCGCTTCTTCTCCGCCTTGTGCGACCGACGGCGGGTGGTCGACGCGTCGTCGTCGTCACTGCTGCTGCTACTGCTGTCGTCCGAGGCCTCGTTTTTGGCAGCCGGCGCGACGACAAGGCTCGAGTGATGCTGCTGCACCACACTGGACGACGTGGAGGCTGCGATCTCTTTCTTCTCGTCCGTCGGCTCGTCATCGTCGCTACTGCTGCTGCTGCCACCGTCGTCGTCTTCACTTTGCTCGTCGACATCAAAGATCGACTTGAAGAGGTCTTCGGGCGGCCGTACGACCGGCGGCAGCTCGGGCAACGCGTCGTCGTCATGGCGCACCGACGGCGCCGCCTTGAACCCGTCGGCGTCCTTGAGGTGCGACACGATCTCGCGGTCAAACCGAGCTTGGCTCTCGTCGACGAGCGCACTGGCTTTGGTGCCATCCACAAACTCGTCGGGTCGCTGGACGCGGAAGCGCTTGCAAAGGAGTCGGTCCGGTTTCCACGGCAGCGTCGCACGTTCGAGCGGCTTGCGCTCTTCGGCTCTTGGTGACGCCACGTCACTCGAGGACGACGCCGACTGGAATCGACTCGACATGGCGGCCAACATGCCGGCGCGCACTTGCTCGCCCAAGGCGGGCTTGGCCACTGGCGGCTCGCCAAGGAGGGCACCGCGCTGCGTCGCCGTGAGCGTCGTCGACGTCCCCCGCTTGGGGAGCGTGAACGCGTGGTCGCTGTATAAATTTGGCGGCGACGGCCGCTGCGGGCGAAACAACCGACCGGGCTCGTACGTCGGTGGGACGTTGATAGGGGCGAGAAGGGCCTTGGACGGCTTGGGCGTCATCCGGCGAAGCACGTAGCCTTTCAGCGGCGGCCGGCCATCGCTGCACACTTGATGTGTCTTGGCATCGGCCGGCGTCGGGGCGCGAAGCCGCTTGCGTGACGCGCCGTCGTGGAGCTCGCGGTCAAAGTTGTCTTGGGTCTCGATCGCGTACACGTCATAGTCGTCGTTTTCCTCGAGCGCACTAAGCCCGTGGCCCATGTTGCTGCGCCCGACCGATGGCTTCATGGCGTCGGCGAACGTCATGATCTGGCGCACGCCCGACGCTTGTTTCGCCGCGTCTTGGCGCCGCTTGAGGAACGCAAACTCGGGCGCGTCAATGTACGGATCGTACCCGACGCCGTAGTTGTCGAGCTTGGGTGTCGGGAAGGCCGCGACGTCCACGTTGTGCTTGGGCGCGATGTAGACAATGTCGTCGCCGTCTCCGTCGTCATCGAAGCGGCTCAGCTTGCTCTTGCGGATCTTGGGGCCGACGCCCTGACCTTGCTTCCAGCCCATGCTAGAGAGAAGCTTCGTGCCCACCGAGTCGCGCGATGGCTGGATAAAGTCGTCGGGCATGAAGCCGGGAATCGACGCGCCATGGGCTTGTGCCTGCTGCAAGTGCTTGCTCGTCGCATCCTGCGCCGCGTTGTTCGGGTCGTACTTGGACGCGAGCTCGAGGCGCCGACCGAGGAGCTGGTCGTCTTCGTCGTCCAAAAAGTCTTCAATGCGCTGCGTCGTCGGCGCGCCGCCGCCGTCCCGAGACGACTGGAACGTCTTGGGTGCCCAGCCTTCTTTGCTGCCAACCGTGTTGTAGTAGCCCGCGGAGAAGCCGCCCGTGAACGCGCCATGGAAGCGCTTGTCCTAGCGCCACGTCATGAGCCTGAGCCTCGGGTGCGAGTCCGTGGAGCGTCGCCGCCATACCTCCCGTTTCCGCGGTTCCATCGACCGTCCCTTTTTCAAACTCAATCGACCGCACAATGAATTTCTTAAAACAGGCGCGATTGAGTCGACTTTTGAGAAATAGTGTCGGACTCAAACTGAAACGCGAATCTCAGTTAAAATTTGGACTAGACCGAGCCGACCACGGGCGCGGCAGGGCGCACAACCGCCGCCGGAGCGTCGTCGCCCAGCACGAGGCCGCACTGCGGGCAATGTAGCCGCTGGTTGAGCTTCTCTAAGATGCACTCGTCGTGGAAGCGGTGGCCGCAGGCCAGCGTCGTGATCGAGTTGGTATGCGAGAGCTGCCGGCGCAGCTGCGCATCCAGACGCGTATCTTCGTCGATGTAGGCATCGTCGCCGGTCTGGACGATCGAAGGTGAGAGCGGGCAGCTCTCGACTTGACTGAGCGGGAGGCAGCAGATCGCGCAGTCGGTGGCCGTCGCCTTCATCGACGCCCGCGGCCGCTCGTCAAGAAACGTCGGGGACGCCTCGGCCTCGGACGGCGGGTGCGCCGTGCCGTAGAAGAAGTCGACCAGTAGCTTGGGGAGGAGGTACGTGATGATGCGGCACGACGTGTTGGGCTGGACCGTCGCGTGGTGCCGAAGCACGACCTGGAGGTAGTCGAAGAAGACCTGGAGCTCCTGCATGCGCCCAAGCACAACGCTCCGCCAGTGCGATCGGAAGAGGTGGCGCCGTGGAAAGTTCGACGAGATGTATGCATACAGCCATGGGCAGATCTCCTCGCACTTGTGGCCGTAGAGCAGATTCCGCAAGATCGTCACTTTGAGCGCGTAAAAGTCCCGGAACCCTTTGATCACCTCCCAGCGCCGGCCCGAGACGAGGTTGGTGCAGTAGAGCACATACCGCGTCCGGTGGTCCTCGAGCCCGCGCGCTTTCACAAACTTGATGTGTACATTGCGCATGAGCATCGCCTCCTGCGTCGCGTATGGCGGCCGCGGCGACCGCACCGGAAGGCTCTGCACCTGCGCCGTGAAGCTTGGACGCCGCGGCGAGTACGGCGCGCGCGGCGACGACCCGAGCGAAATGCTGCGCCGATGCCCCGGACTCTTGGGCGTCCTCTCGACGAGGGCGTCGGACGCCAGGTCCAGATGCAGCGGCAGCCGCGGCGTCGACGGCGTCGCCGTGAGCGAGTCGACGACGTCCGACTCCATGTCCTTGGCCACGCACCAGAGGCCCACGAGGTAGTCGCGGAGGCGGCCGAGCATGCTGCGACCTCGCCGTTTCTGTTCTAAAATAGTACTATCAACCAAAGGATGATCTTGTGATATTGAACTTGGGTTCGTCCTCGGGTGCAGGAAAAGCCAGTACGACGTCTCCGACGACGCCTGTGGCTCACATCATCGGGAAGAGTACACGCAGGAGGACCACCAACGCTTGATGGACTATGTCAAGGAGCCCACGTTCAAGTTACATACTAGCCTTCTATAGCCCGCCACTAGGCGTCCGAGACGGCCAAAATGGCTTCGTGCTGCAGGATTTCGTCGGCGGTCGGGCGTTGGAGCGGATCCGGGTGCATCATACTCTACAGAGAAATCGCTTAGACGCTCGAGCAGACTCCAGGTTACCCCAATGAGATGCTGGAGCGAGCTCGAATAGTGCCTACGTCGCCAGCGTCAATGACCGAGACGCGACGACACCCGACGTACCGGAAGGTCGCGAGGTCGCCGTCCCGAATGGTTTGCCACTCGTCGCCCTCGGACGGCAATGGCACCCCGCGCGCCTACATCAGGCATGAGCCCATGCGGGTGCAGCGCACTGTACCAATTCGTAGATGGACGCGCCAAGCGCGAAAATGTCACCGGCGCTCAAATGCGATCGATTCCCTTCGAGGAGCTCCCGCGAGAGGTACCGGTAGTCGCCCTCCATGATCTCCATGGCGCCGTCCATGGGCACGACGGTCCCAAGGTCTCCGAGCTACAATACATACATGCTTCAGCATCCGAGAAGATGAAGAGGAAAGAGGACGATGGACCAACCTTGTAGACGCCGTTGGGGGCGCGAAGCATGTTGTCGACCTTGATGTCCATGTGCACGAGCTTGAGCGCGTGCATGTCACGCAGTGCCTACGCCACATCTTGAACGTCCAAGCGAACGACAGCACTTGCACGTACTTTGGCCATGTGTGCGAGCAGCTTGCGCAGCGTGACCTCGGCGACCGGCTTGCTCTCGGCGAGGAAGGATTGCAGCGAGCAGCCGTGGCAGTACTCGAGTTGGATGTACAAAAGGTCGTCCTCGATCCACGCGTCAAAGTACTGCACAATGTGCGGGCTCGCGCTGAGCGCCGCGAGTGCGTGGACTTCGCGCAGGGCGCGCTGTCTACTCGGTGCTTAGCCCGTCCAAGGGGTAGAACGAACGGTGTTGTACTTGTCCGAATTGCCACGAAAGTGGCGCTTGCTCTTCTTGATCGCGTACACCCACCCGTCAAAACGCTTGATGCACTTGAACACTTTAGAGAACGAGCCGGATCCAAGGACCTAATGCATAGATTAGCACGACACGATGGTGACGCGTCGTACCTCTTGCTCGACGAACTCGAGCAAGTACTTGGACGTCGATGAGTTGGTCGTGCCAAGCCACACTAAAGCGACGACGACTCGTCAGCAAGGTTACTACATGGGACGTCGTACGAGGTGGAGGTAGACTGCGCTTCTTGGGCCGTCGTCGGTCGTCGACAGCGGCCGCGAACGGGTTGGTGTTGATTTCGGGCACGGACGCGCTACGTGTACTGAGGTCAACATCGCATCATGATGGCCTCGGCGCCTACATTTCTTCGGGAATCGACGCGACAGGGCGTGGGATCGCAATCGGCTTTTGCTTCATTGGCGTCGTCGTCGGGCGCGGAGGTGCCTTTGGTGTGCCTACCGCAATGCTCCATCTCCATGCCATCGATCCATGCACGTACCTTCTGCGTCAATCTTGGCACGCGGCGGCGCAATCGGGCTCTCGTTGAAGGGCATCACTGTGAGGCGTGGCACTGTGCGTGGACGCTTCTTGACCGGCGACGGCGACCGCGGATGGGACATGTGCAGCACAGGTTGGTCCTGCGGCGTCGAAAAGTCGCAAAAGGCGTCTTGGCTGTACATGCTTGAGAAGCACGGCGCCGTGCCAAAGTCCTGGCTCCACGGGTGGTACGCCGGCGGCTCGAGCTCTGGCGTCTGCTCGTGGTCTGGCTCGGACTTTTGCGTCTGACTCAAGAGCGCGTTGAAGTCGATGCGCTTGGGCTGCGGCTCGTCGCCCTCGTCGTCGTCGTCGTCGGCGTCGTCAAAGTTCAGGGTCGTCTCCAGCGCGGTTCGGCGCTCGACGACGTCGTCGGCCGCGTCTCGGTCGGTCTCATCGAGGACGACGGCCTTGCGCTTGGGCTTCATGAAGTACTCGTGGAGCGACCGCTGCTTCTTCAGCATGGTCGGGGCCATGACGGAACTTGGCCCAAATTCAAATTTGGCTTTTGTGGCCTTTTTATTATTATACATAAAAATAGCATCAAACCCAGCATGCCGTATTAAAATACCAACACTGGACATTTGTATGCAAAAGGGGAAAGTAACACGGACCACCGACCCCCGTTCTGTCCAATCACATCGCAGGTGCCACGCACGTACCCAATCGAATGCATCCTACGCAGCCAATCACGTGGCGACGTTGCCTTCCCGCGAAAGTGCGCCAGCAGCCCCGTCGCGCCCGAGACACTTGATAGATCGATAGAATGCATTCTTGATATATGTCAGTCCTATGGGGCGTGGCCAAGTGACGGCGGAGTCGTGTACGTCTGCTGCGTGAGCACCGATGTTTCGTGCTGGAAGCGCTCAATGAAGCAGAGGAAGTCGTCGACATTCGAGGCGTGGTCCCTTGGCGCCACCTAGGTGCGCCGCATGAGCTCGGAGCTCGCCGTGTAGCCGACATACGCAGGCGTCGGCGCGCTGAGCAGCGAGCACCCGGTCGTTGGCAAGGATCGCGCGTTGCATCTGAAACGTAGTAGTACGGTTGCGCTCGAACAATGGAGGATGTACCTGGTCGTGATGGCGCTTCTTGAGCTCGTCGATTTCGACCGTGTGGAGCAGCTGCAAGCGCTCAACTTCGCGATGATGCAGGCTCTTGGCTTGCTGCAGCTCGTGCTTGACGGCCGAGAGCGCGTCTGCCTGCGTCTTTGTGACTACTTTGAGCTCCTACCATAACGCTGCTGCTTGAACCGCGGCGACCGAGGCTAGTACTTGAACTTGGGCCGTCAGAGCCGCGCACTTGGTGCGCTCCGACTCGAGCGACGTCTCGAGCGCATCGAGCGTTTGGTTGGTCATTTCCACGTACGACGCTGATCGGGTCACAGGCGCCGCATGCAGCTCGGCCTGCACTTGCCACGTTACTTGGTGCACGCTTGCTATATCGAGGTTCAAACCGGCGACGAAGTGCGCAGAACGACGCGCTCGTACGCTTGGCTCCAGCAGTTCTTGCCGTCCCGTGCGAGCGGCTTGTTGGTGACGCTGTCCCGCGCATGAATCTAGCAGCAGAGTCGCTTGTGTGCTCGTCGGCGAACATACCATGTAGCGCGGCAGCGTTCGCAGCGGCCCGTGCGGCGGGTTGCGATCGAACGGCGTGCGAAAGACCTACGCCCCAGCGTGAGCATGGCGCCTTGTGGAGCGTGCGGACCCCGGATCGCGTCATCTCGAGCAGCAAGAGAGCGTGGTCGTTGGCGCTGCGCTTCCACTGGACGTTGAGAATGGGCTCCGAGATCTTGTCGACCCAGCGCTCGATGCGAATCCTAGCCGACGTCGCTTCAACCATCGAGGCGAGAAGGAGGCGTACTGGAGGTGTCTCGGGTGCTGGAGGTAGATGCGCTCAATCTCCATGAGAAGACACACCAGCTCGTCGTCCAAGGCAACGCTGGCATCGGGCGTCGGCGGACGCCGCTTGAGGACCCGCGCATGCATGATTTTGGATCAGGACGTGAAATATCGAACTATATTAAGTGGCTCCTTACGACCAGCAACGGCGCCACAGTCGCCTCACTCGACAGCGGCGCGGTTGTTGTTGTTGTCGTGGTCGAGCTCGAGCTTGGCGACTTGGATGTCTTCCCACTGCTCGGTATCTACAAGACGCGCCATGTCCATTCCGCAACGTAGCATCGGTTGTGTGCCTACTCTCTTTCTTGAGGCAGAGGTAAATCACAGCGTCGTTCTCGAGCTCTTGGTCGGCGACAGTCGCCACGTCCAAGAGCTCCTTTTGCTACGGCGGCGTGAGCTCGCTCGCCCAGTAAATGCGAATGTGGCTACCTTGTTGGTGTGCCACAGCTGGATGTGGCCGGGCCCGGGCAGGCCCAAGATGGACGCGATCGTTTCCTTGATCTTGACAAAGGCCTCGTGCGGCTCCGTGAGCACGAAGAACGTCTGCTGGCGGCGCTTGACGCGGAGGTACATGCTGCGGTGGCTTCTTCTGGCGACTGCCCACACCACATTGGTTGCCGCTCGTATCCGGTCGGTGGCACGGTATCCGGACGATCTTGCATGGACGCCGACTCGGTCGGCGCCTGCTGCAAGCGCGAGCTGTGGGAAGTCGCCAAGGCGCTCCTCAAGGCCGGCGCGAATATCCACGAGACCTACGGCGTACGTATCCTGTGAATGCAACTGTCCTCCGAACCTCCATGTACTACTAGATCTACCAATGGACCGCTTTGCACTATGCGGCCATGCACGGCAGCCTCGTACGGCGCCGACGCCTTAAATGCTCGCATGATGGCTTCACGTTGCCGGACTTAGGACATGTGCAAGTTCATTCTTGCGCGACAAGGCTCGGTCCACGCATCGGCCAAGGTACGCAATTTAGCAAAGACATCATCACGCCATCTCTACTACAGGACGGCACGACGCCGCTGCATCTCGCAGTCGCCCACCGCCACCGCGTACGCTGCATACGCCTGGAAATACTGGCGATGCCACGCTCTTGTAGGCCGTCGTGCTCTTCCTCGTGTCGGCGGGTGCCAATATCGCGGCCTGTGACAAGGTACTCCACCGACGCGCCTGGATGCTGCCGGCGACAATGATCTCGTTTGCTGTAGAAAGATCGGCCGCCCTTTCTGCAAGCGCCGTGGCACGAGATCGTGTTCCCGTGTCTTGTTGCACCGCTGCATGCGACGATCGTCGGCAGCATTGAGAAAAGCGCGCTGCTCCAGAACGCCAACGCGACCGCGTCGCATGCGCTGGCGACGCTCATGCGCCAGCTCGAGGCGCAAGCGCACGCCAACTTTCAGGCGCGGACGCAGCTGTACGACCGGCGCAAATTTCGACACTTGTCGAAAGATGTGTGTGCGAATCTGGCAGCCGAGATTGCATCGACGCGCGAGAGCATCCGGCAGTCGCAAGCCGCCATCGCTGCGCTCGAATTGCAAGCGACGGAGCGCGCTGCGCTGCTTGTCGAAACCGAGGCCGCGATCCTCGACCAAGGCGACGAGCACACTCGCGTCCTGGATGCGATCAACCGTACCAAGGACGAAATTACGGTGGTCGAAGGCAAGATTACCGCCATCACGACACGCAGTTTAGGTACTTCGTCATGGAAGAATACGCGGCGGGCCGCAAATGTACCGTAGAAAAATACGAAGCGATCAAATCCATGGCGCTCTTCCCGCAGTCGGAGCAACTCATGGAACAGTCGTGCCAAGCCCTCGTGCGCCTTGTGCCTAGCGACGGTAACCTCTCTCTTGATAGATTGCTAGATACGAGTCGATCCACTAGAAAACCGACACAAGCTGCTCGTGAACGGACTCTGCCCGACGTGGCTGCACATCATGGAGCGACATGCATCCAACGTCCGTATCCAAGCCAACGGCGTCACCTTGCTACTGCTACTGCTGGAGAAGACAGGTTGGCTTATTGCACACATGCATCCTACATGCAACAGCGAATATTTAGGGTCACTGCCACTCGAGCAGCTCGCACAATCCATCGATTGCATCGCCCATGCGCTAGTCACCCTCCGAAGTTATACCACGTTGGACTATGGACAGACCATCGACCTCGACGGTCTTCAGCGCCTTCTAGCCTTTGCGACTGCCGAGGCCAGCGACGGTACATACGCTGCAGTCATTACGGCGTCGTAAAGTCCATGCTGCGTCTAGTGTCAGCGCTCAGTCTTCGCTCAATTGACGACTCGATGCAGTTACTTCGAAAGCGCTTTGTATCCACGCTAGCTGAGAACGAGCGATGTCAACCGCGTGTTTAATGCTTCTTTACATGACCCTACAGCTTGCTCGCTTTGCTTTCTTCCTTCTCTTGGCTTCTTCGAGGCGGAGGTCCTCGGCTTCGATGGCGTCGGCGACCGTCGTCCGGTGGTCGACGGTATTGACGACAGTTGCAACCACGGGTGCATCGTAAAACTGCAGCTCATACTCGCTGAGTTCGACGCCAATCGCGCGCGCGGCAATCTGGTGCACGCTCCGGAGCACGTTGTCACCGCTCTGCGCCGAGAGGAGAAAGCCGCCGTGGAGCTTGTGCTTGCTCACAAAGGCGTTGTGCGCCTCGAGCGACACGACGCGGAGATGCCGCAGATCAATCTTGTTGCCGACAAGGTAGACACACCGCTTGGAACGATCCAGTGTCGGGACGACGCGCAGCCAGTCGTCGAGGTCGGCAAACGACTTGGCGTCCGTCACGTCGTAGCATAGGAAGATGAGGTTGGCGCCAAAGAGGTACTTGTCGAGCATCTTGCTCGTCATGTTTTGGCCGCCAATGTCCCAGACCTACGACAATACTATCATTGCATCGGGCCGTCCCTTGAGTGTCCATGACCTCGAGCACGACGCGCTGATCGCGTGGGAAGTGGAGTTTCTTCTCAAAGAAATCCAGCCCGACCGTCTGCTTGTACTGCTTTTCAAAGCCGTCGGCGACGAAGCGGGCAATGATACTCGACTTGCCGACCGAGCCGTTCCCGAGAAGCGTCAGCTTGACCACCGGGTCGCCCATCCCTCGTCTTTTGAGAAATACAAATACAAAACGCCCATAACGCCTCAACACTGCGCTAGAATGCCCAAGGAGACGACCGTTGTGGCGCTGCCCACTGCGCAGCACCTCGTCACGTCCGCGCTCGCCGCGTCGTTCTTCTCGGGCGGTGACCCCGAGTATGAGGTACCTATTCCTCTTCCATCCTTGTAGTACCGACGACGAGAGAATCGGATGGTGTAGCCGGCGCGACGGGAGCAAATGCGGCAGAGCTGCAAGCGGGTGCGAACGTGGCGCGCCGCGGTTGTGAACCCGCTCCTCCAGCACAAGGCGCGGCCCGAGAGCGCGCTCGGGAAGAAGACAAAGGAGCGCCGCGTGCATCTCACTGCGCTTCTCTCGTCGATCCTCGAAGCGTACGAGACCTGTGTCGTGCACTACGCCGAGACGCTCGGCAAAGAGTCGTTCCCCGAGTACTATGCCAATGCGATCCTGCAGCGGGCGACGAGCCGGTGCGCTCTGTTTGTTTTGAGGCGTTTGAACCAAATCCAGTCGGTAGGAAGCACGGGTTGGAGCTCCTGGAAGCGACCATTGCATCGCTTGTGCACACGACGACGCACCCGCGCATCCGCTGCTTTGCCAACCTTCTCGGTGTCACCGAGAATCCCTTCAACCCGAAAGAGAAGACGACACTCTTTCTGCGCCTCATCGAACGCATGTACCGGCTCAAGACCAACGACGCCGCCAAGGGCCTCGCGACCTACGACGATGTGGCGTCCGTGGCTTGCGTCGTCTTTCACAACATTGGGTTTGGCCAAGCCGCCGCGCGCCGCGTCGTGCGGGACCTCTTCCATGAACCCGACCCCTACTGGACGTTCGAGTACCTCGCGCCCACGTGCGTCGAGCTGACTGGTACGATGCTGTGTTCCATCTTGATAGGTTGATAGTTGTGGCTAGTGGAGCGCGGGTGGCCCGCTGGCGCCGAGTCCGACCTCCTTGAGCAAGTCAGCCGCCTGGGCTCGTCCATGCGCAACGCCAACGGCACACGTAAAGTCGACGGCGACGCGTTCCTCGAGCTCATCCTGAGCGCGTGGAACCACCGAGCGCAGCAGTTGTACCTCGATCTCGACAACGCTTGCGATAAGGAAGAGGCCAATCTCGCGGCGGCAATTGATGCGACGCGACAGCAGTGTTACGACCGCGCCAACATCGCACCGGCGACCGCGGCCGAAGAAGCCATCTTTCACGACGTGCTCGCAGCCCACTGGCTCGCCGACGTCGACCTGAACGCTGTGGGGCACGAATGGCACCGGCCGCTGCGCGATATCCAGCGGCTCTATGCGAGCTACCGTGACACACAAGCCGCTCAAAGCGGCAAGAAGGCATGGGACTGGGAGGCGTGGAGATGGGAAGCCGATTGGGACTGGGGCGGTCTGATTGCATCGGTCAAAAACCATCGCGACCACGAGGCACATGTGCTCACGTCGTCGCAATTGCCGCTCACAAACGACTCGGGGGTCTTGGACCTCGCCGAGTGCACGCTTGGCGACCGCAACATGCAGAAAATGGGTCAGTTCCTCCAGCTACCGACGCGCAAGCTGCACACGCTCCGCGTCTCCGGCAACGGCGTCCGCGACAAGGGCTGCGAGACCATCGTCCGTGCGATTCAGAGTAGCCAGCCCAGCGTGCTCGAGCTCAATTTGTCCGACAACGCCATTGGCGTCCATGGCGCCCGCGCCCTCCGCGACGTCCTCACGGCCAAGACGTGTCGCATTGAAGTGCTTTGCCTCGACAACAACAAGCTCGGCAACGTCGTGGGAAAGGCGTTCATGGAGGACGTGGCCTCATCGAACCGGTCGCTTCGAACCCTCTCGCTGCGGCGGAACGAGCTCAACTGCGGCCACGCCGTCGCCCACCTTCTCCGCGTGCACCCGACCATCCAGCGCTTGGATCTGTCATGGAATGTCTTTCGTGGGCTGCACGTCGTGCCGATGGCAGCGGCGCTCACCGACAATGGAACCCTGCAGGAGCTGCATATGAGCTACAACGCGGCGGGCGATGCGGGCTTCGCAGCACTCACCAAGGCACTCGCGATGAACAAGGTGCTACGGCACCTCGATGTGGGCCACAACAACGTGCTGGCGATCCTCGATATAAAGAATCTGCTCAAGACGCTGTCGCATCACTTGTCGCTCGAGACGCTCGTGCTCTGTGGCAACCCGTTGGGGCCAAGCGTCGTGGCGACTCTTGAAAAGGACATGGCGGGCAGTCGCGTGCAGATGCACTTGAGCGGCTGTTCGCACGCATCGAGCTCGACGTACCAATTGCCAGGCGCACGATAGTACAGTGTACGCAGCGTAATTGAAGTGACTAATGCAACGTGTCAGTATGCGGCAAGTGATCAGTCGATGGAGACCTCGGCCCAGAGTGGTAGTGGCGGCAGGATTCGTCCCGATGAGAAGCGACGCATCAAAGCGGGAATGATGTCGCTCCTGTGGCTATATCCTGCTGGACAGTTGATCGCATAGCATAGCAAAGCACGGTACTGAAAGGCAACTGTGGGCACTACCACGCCTGCGAGTGGCGTCCAACGACCCTACAGTTGGCTTCAACAGGATGCTCGTTCGTCATCGCGCTGCAAGAAGACGGCAATGGCCAAGTCAAAAAGACGGTGTTACTAGACGGTACATTCTTGTATTGTATACGACACCGGAGATTGCACACACACAAACCATGCATCAGGGCTCGAGTATCGCCGTGTCGTCGCGGGGCCGTGCAGTCGCGGGTGGTACCCAGCTGCGCTCGGACGCGGTGCCGCTCCGGTTCGAGTGGAGGCTCCGAGAGCTCTCAATGTATTCCATCGCGGTGCGCAGCTCCGTCTCGCGCTCTTGGAACCGAAGGCGCTCGCGCTTGAAGAGGTGGCGCTGGTAGACTTGCCAGACCATGGCCAGAAGAATCGCGACGACGCCAACGACGGCGACGACACTTAGGAGCTGGCAGGCCACGGGGTTGCAGAACGGTGCACTCAGCGGCGCCACATCGCTCGTGATCGTCGAGCCGCCGGTGTCGTTGCGTATTGAGAGCCGCGTTGTGTTGGTGGTTTGCAGCATCTCAAGCATCGAGCGGTTCATCCCATCGTGCTGCCGCCGGCGCACATGGCTCGTGTACTCAGCGTCGAGGTGCGCGTGTATGGCGGGTCGGGCGTGGACCGGGGCCATGGCTTCGATCGAATCGGAAGTGCACGGGTGTCTTGGGCGTTGACGCCGGTAGGAGATGCACTTGGCCGGCGCCGACGAACGTTCCGTGGCGAGATGGCATGTCGCCCGCGATAATCCTTTCCGAATCCGAGCCACTGGCTACTGGCGTTAGCTTCGGCGTGATCATGTAATGTTGCTAACCACCTAAGAACACATATACTGCCGGATTGGTGCCATGGATCCTGCACGCCGGAGACAACGCGTTGCCTCAACTGCTTTTGGATCGAAATAGATTTTGCTTCTTTTATTGGCTGAAATCGCACCGTTGAATATCGATGATTGGCTGAATGGCCACCGTTGTGTATCGATGATTGGATAAAAATAGATACGAGGCATTGATGCGCGTCGAAGATCCATATTGTCATTTTCGGTTGCCATGGATGCAGGACACTTGTCGGACGCGGTGCCGTTCGTCCCCGGTCTTCTCTACTACGTGGCGGTCCGAGACAACGAGGTTCCGCGCTCGAGCCCGTCCCGCACCGTCTTTTGCATCGACAAGCAGCTCTTGTACGCCAACTTTTACCTCGATTTTGGGCCGCTCAACCTAGGCCAAACCTTTCAATTTTGCCACATTCTCAACCACGAAGTGTCCAAAGCCAAAGCGTCGTCCAAGGACATTGTGTTTTACTCGTCCCACGACGGCAAGCGGCGCGCGAACGCGATCTGCCTCTTGGGCTGCTGGGGCATCCTCTTCAACGGCATGTCGGCAGCGGAGGCGTTCGCGCCGTTCACCGGCCTCGCGCTGCCCAGCTTTCATGATGCGACACCGTCCATCTGTCTCTTCAAGCTCACCGTCCTCGACTGTCTGCGCGGCCTCGAGAAGGCGCTGCAATGCAAGTACATTGCGCCCGAGACCTTCAACATCGAAGAGTACCAGCACTACGAACAAGTCGAGCATGGTGACCTCAATTGGCTCTCGCCCAAGTTCATTGCGTTCGCGGGGCCTTACGATGAGTACAAGCAAACGATCGAAGGGTACATCTCGCTGACGCCCGAGCACTACCTGCCGTACTTCAAGGCGCACAACGTGACGCTTGTCGTGCGGCTCAACGAAAAGCTCTACGACGAGAAGCGGTTCACGGATGCAGGTATTGACCACCTCGAGCTCTTTTACCCGGACGGTGGCAACCCACCCGAGGCGATCTTGCTCCAGTTCATTCAAGCCTGCGAAGCGACGCCTGGTGCGGTCGCGGTGCACTGCAAGGCCGGCCTCGGTCGCACGGGCACGTGCATTGGCGCGTACCTTATGAAGCACGACCGGTTCTCGGCCAAAGAGTGCATTGGGTGGCTCCGCCTCTGTCGCGCCGGCAGCGTCATTGGGCCGCAGCAGCAGTACATGGAGGCGATTGAGAAGAAAATGTGGCTCGCCAAGCGCCCGATGACAGACGCCGACGACAGCGAAAACAACGGTGGAAGCACGACCGAGTCGCACATCGTCGCCGTCTCGCCGTGCAAAACCAAGCAGCGTACGAGCGCCAACATTTTCCGGTCGAGCCCACCGACGATCATTGTGCCCGGTGCGTCGTTGGCCAAGACCAACCGCGCGGCACTGGCGCTGAGTCTTCCAGCCAATGTCAACGCCGTCAGTAGTGCTTCGGCGATGGAGCCGTCCCCTAAGACCCAAGGCGACAACCTCATTGAGCTCAAGCACGGCCGCCTCAAGAGCCCCGTCAAGCCGTAAATCGAAAAAATGTACAGATTTCATTATGCTATATCAAAGACATGCGGCACCCGTGGTGTTCTCATCAGTACAGTGGGCGCTACGCGCTGCCGGTCGGGAGCTTTCGGAGCGGGTTGCGCTTAAAGTCGGCGCCTACGCCAGGACGTGCATGTGGAATAAGAGTGTTTATTCTGTACCTAGGAGCGACGAATAGAGGCAACGCTCGTCCTTGCCGATGAGGCCATCGCGGTAGACGAGGTCAAAGCCTCCGACGCGATCTTCCTTTGTCTTGGACCTAAAACGTCCATGATTGAATAGTGTGCGCGGATGAGAGCGACGAGCGGCTGTACTTGTTTTCAAGGTCGATAATGTCGAGCATGTCGTTGAGCATGCCGCACTTGAGCTGGTAGTCGGCCGACGTGTTGGCCGAGAGCTAGCATGTGTTTTCATATTTATATGGAGATCATGAGAAGTACGGAGGGCGACGCGTTGACTTCGAGGAGCCACGGCTTGAGGTTTTCATCAATCATAATGTCGTAGCCGTAGAGCTCAAAGCAGTGCTTGTCGCTGATAATGATCTTCTCGACACTAGCAAAAGGCCAAATGACAATGGGCGCATGCGAACATAAGAAAATAAACCTCTGGAGCGAACGCACAATGACCATCTGGATCTCGTAAAAGAGCTGGTCGATGCGGGCGCAGCCGTGCTTGGACATCATGTAGAGCTTGAGGCTCTTCAAGTCCCACTTGCCGCCGTGTTTTTTGTTGTAGTTTTCCGAGGTTTTTTGAATCGCGACGTTGGTCAAGTGAATGAACGAATTCTCAATGTCGTTGGCGTTGTTGGAGTAGCGCGAGTTGGTAAAGCGCGCAAAGCCACTCCGGTACATGTAAATCTCAAGCGGCGAGAAGCTCGTGACGAGTGCATACAAGCGCAAATCAAACTACCACAATAGTATGTATCAATGTAGCAACACCAAGAAAAATACCTTTTTGCCGCCGACCAAGTACGGGTTGGAAATGTACTTTTGCACCACGTACGTCTCGACTTGCTGGTTCTCGGGCTTGTACCGGTAGTCGGTGCGCCAGTCGCTGATCTGGCTCAGCTTTGTGAAGAGAAAAATCCCCTTGCCTTGGGCCCTGCCGTCGTTGGTCAAACCTTGGCGACAACCCTCATGGCATAAGCAGAAATACATACTTGCCAATCGGCTTCATGATCCAAATGCCTTGGTTGCGCTTAAACTCCTAATTTGCATCATGGCATCCTCTTGCAACAGACGACAATATTGTACCTCGACAAACATCGAGTACTCGCCCGGGAGAATGTACGTGATGGGGAAAAAGTCGTATGGGTATTCCTCCGTACTGCGCTCACTAGACGCGCGCATGCAACACAATCTGCCATGAGCTAGACACGTACTTGCGTTGCGCCCGACGCGCGCGCTTGAGGTTCTTGATCAAAAGGTCCTTTCGGCAGAGCTAGGCAGAATACGTATAGGATGAGGATAGAACGCCGCGCGTTTTAGTACCTCGCGGCCATTGCGGAAATGGTTGACCTTTTGCGTTACTTCGAGGTGCACCGTGTCGAGCACATCGTAGATGAACTCGCGGTCGGCCCAATAAAAGTCCCAGTCCGTGTCGCTATCATAAGATATATCGTTGGACGAAGGGTGATGAGCCACCTCTACCTTTCTTTCCAGCCGCGCCGCAGCATGGCGTCGTAGATCGTGTTGCGAAACGTGGTTTTGAACCGGATGATTCCGTTCGTGGCCGTCGTCGCCTTGGCTTTGGCGGCCTTGGCCGCCTCGGCCGCGCGGCTCTGGCGGGCGCGCGTCGCCGCGTCTGTCTTCTTCTCGCTCATTTCGAAACCACCGGGTTCTGGTGCCCGTTTCACGGGTGGGACATTGGATTTGTATCAACTTGATACCATGCCAAGCGGCGCCACGTCATGCGATGCGACCTCCTCACTGTCGGTACTAATACAATATCGCGCGGGCCATTTATCGATGCAAAAAGCATGTACAAGATGGAAATACATGTAAAGGAGGGTGCATTGTCGCTAGCCGACGAGTCGACGAGACGACTCGCTGACAAGTTGACGAGAGTCCGCCGAAGTTAAGAGGAGCTTCTGGATGTTAGTTGTAGCGGACGCCGCCCATAAACGTGCGGGCGTCTGGGGCGGACCCGTTGAACTCGGCGTTGGAAAAATCAAAGCCCGGGTTCTCTTGCTGGAAGCGCTCGAGCAGCAGCTTCTTTTGCACTTCATCTTTTGTCAACGGATCCAGCTACACCACTCGATGGTCGCCGCAGCACGCATCAAGGCACGTACCTCGCCATGGCCGACAAAGACCGCGTCCCACGTCAAGCCTTTCTTCATCTTTTGCAAATTGATGTTGAGTTCGCCACCGTCTAGAGATGCGTTGTGACGCGATGCAGGTAGAGCGGGCCTACCCAGCATCCAGTAGCTCTCGGCCACGACGACTTGGCTCGTCAACTCGTGCTATCCATCGCGTCAGATGTCACCTATCGCAGGCGTAGATACGTCGAGGTAGCGCTCGGCGTTGCCCTTGATGCCCAGCATGACGTGGCTCGGCGAAATCGTGCAGAGCAAGTGGCTCGCGGTGACACCCGGCGGCGGCTTGATGAAGATGTTGACCTCTTCGAGCGACTGCTCCCACTCGTAGATCACTTGGCCTGGCCCACAATGCGCCCATGAGCCCACGCGCATGATCATGCATATGCGCGAGTACCTTGGTGCTTGAAGGCGCGCCGGCCCGCATGGATCGCTGCTTTCGCCATGACCTCGATTGGCACGTGTCCGCAAACGGCGTCCTGGCATCCGGATACGACCCACAATCCGCCAAAAGTCCCAAGCCGATCTTTCTCGAATTCGAATTCGAAATTTCGTGCTTCGTGTTTGGATTTGTCATATTTCCGATGAAACCCACCACTTTGCACTGCAAAGTAATCAACCGTTTCTTATTGCCATCAAGGCTAAGCACCCTTATTGCCATATTTGGGCCAACGACGTGGCCATGGACAATGTCGACGCGCTCGTCCAAAAGCTCTGTCGCGCGGTCAAGCCCGAGGCCGAGGCCGATCGACCATACTTGGTGCTCCACGAAGTCCAAGCCCTCGCAGCCAACAATGGCCTCGCACCGCTCACGAGCGTAGACCTCATGCACGTGGGCCTTCTTCTTGAATGGAACTGGCGATTCCAAGCGACGCCCGTGGACGGGCACTTCGAGATCGCAGACCTCGTCGCGCTCGTACGTGCGATGCTCGCCGACGAGCGCGCGCTCAAGCACCCGGTACCATCGTACGTCGCGTACATCAAGGAAGCGCGTAGCCTCTTGAGCATGTGGCAAATGGTCGGGACGTCGTCGAACGACGGTTTGGAGCGCGTCGTCTCCTGGGTCGTCGCCACATTGCGCGCGTCAGCAACCCACGAGCAGTTGCACGTGGTGAACGGCATCGAGTACGTTTCTGTCGCCTGTATGGGCCCGATCGAGCGCCTCTTCGAGTGGCAGTCCTTGGCCTGGAAGGACGCATTGTACGCAGAAGGTAGAGCCCAAGGCCTTGTGCATGTCGAGGACTATATTCCGCTGCCGCTCCTGCAGCTTTTTCTGCGGCATTTTCTGCTTGCGTGGACGACACAGCTCGGTAAGTATGGAATCACCAAGAGTAGTTTAACACGGGCGTAATCAAGAAACGATGGGTAATAAGACTCGGGTCGAGTCCATGGCGCGCAAGAGACGACAGCACAAGGGCTCACACGCGTCCGAGATAGACAGCTGAAAGACGAGGAAGAAGAACGTTCATCGAGACGCCGCCTCTTTTGTTTGTAGAAGAGCTGATGAGAAAACGAGGTGGCACACCAGTCAGGCTTTGACGCCGAGTCAGCTACTACGCGGCAGAGATCGCTGGTAGCCTTTCCATCATGCACATCCGAGGAGGCGGCGCCGACTCTTGCTGGACGTGGATGACTGTCAAGTCGGGAGGGTTCGAGAGCGCGAAGGAAGACGACTGTACATTCTTCTGGGGCGCGAAGGAACAAGGAAGCCGACCCTTTGTCGAAGCGACAATAACTCGCGTTTTTCTTGGCGCCAAAAACCAAATTCCGCAGGAAGCTGCCCCGCCCGGTCAAAAATTTCTCAATCATGGATGCATATGACGTTTTATGTACATTCACATGCATCGTACGATCAACAAATGAGATGAAGAACAACGACTCTGTCCTGCGTCGCGCGTCTTCTTCGAGTTCCATCATCGTGGGTGGGCCTGTAGCGTCGCGTCGCCAACGTGTCGTGCCTCTCTGATTGGTGCAATCTTTCGATTGGCGCGATTTCCATTGGCCAATGCATTTGAAAATAGTGAAACGTCACCGTTTGATTGGCTCATTTGATGATGACGGAAGAGGAAGTTGGTTACCTCTGAGGTGTGGACAGACTTGCTTTGTCACCTTTGCTCCCAATGGCCAAGAAGGCAGCTGCCAAGTCGACGCCCGCCAAGGCTGCCAAGGCCGCGCCGCCGGCCGCCGACGCCAAGAGCCCGGCTGTCGCTACGTACGAGGCCGAGCTGCGCGAAGCGCGCAAGAAGCTTACGCTCTTCCGCCGGCCGCTCGCCGTGCTCTACCACTTTTCGATCGTCCTTGTCGGCTTTCTCAAGTGGCTGGCGCTGTACCTCGTGCAGCACAACGTGACGCGCTTCGTGGCGCTGCCGCTCTTCTTGGTCTGGCTCGGCGCGACCAAGACGGAAGGCGACCACCAAGTGCTCTTGGGCCAATTCAACACGTACGTCGAGTTTGTCGTGTGGTGGGTCGGCCTTGGCGTGCTCTCGTCCGTGGGCCTTGGCACGGGCATGCACTCGGGCATCCTCTTCCTCTTCCCGCACATCTTCCTCGTCGTGCAGGGCGGCGAGATCTGCAAGTCGCTCGACTTTGATACGTTCCACCACACGTGGTTCCGGTCGTTTGAAGCCAACTGCGCGAGCGTGCCCGAGACGAGCTCGGTGACGTTTGCCAAGATCTTCCTCAAGGTCTTCCTCCCGAGCATGCTCTGGGGCGCGGGTACGGCCATGGGCGAGATCCCGCCGTATGCGCTCAGCCGCGCCGCGCGCCTCGCCGGCCAGCGCAACGAAGAATTCGAAGAAATCACCGAGTCGTCGTCCGAGTTCAACGTCATGAACCGCATGAAGGACTGGATGATCGGGTTCCTCCAGCGCCACGGCTTTTGGGGCGTCCTCCTCATGTCGGCGTGGCCCAACATGGCGTTCGACCTCTGCGGCATTTGCTGCGGCCACTTTTTGATGCCGTTCTGGACCTTCTTTGGCGCGACGCTCATCGGGAAGGCGCTCATCAAGGTCAATATGCAGGCCGCGTTCTTCATCACGATCTTCACGGACGCCCACATGAAGCAGATTGAGCATTTTATCGGGTCCGTCACGCCGGCGGCGTGGGCGCTGGACCAGAAAGTCAGCGACTTTCTCCTCGAATGCCGCAACAAGTTTCACGCGGCGTCCGACTCGGCCAAGATTGCCCACGAGACGGGCGCCGAGGCGGGCTCCAGCCTCATCTCGCAGCTCGGGTCGCTCGTCATGGTGGCCTTTATGGGCTTCTTCGCGGTCTCGTGCATTGAGCAATTCGCCCAGCAACACGCGGCCGAGGAAGACGCGGCCAAGGTCGAGGCCTTTGCCAAGTCGCAGTGAGTTAGAGTGAACCCGCCTACGACGACGACGACCGGCGACTACACGTGCAGTTGTATTTTGCATCTCAACACTGGCTTTGCGCGCATTCTATTGTTCATTTGTTGGACTTTTTATTCGGCTTGGGCTTGTCACTGCGCAGCTTCTTGTCGTGGCGTTGCAGCTCCTCCAAACGGAGTTTGCTCGCCTGGGCTTTCTCGGTCTCTCCGGCTCGGAGCTCGGCGAGGTCGTCCCGGTACCGGCAGTCGGACGGGAGCGCGTGTGGGACAGGCACGGGTAGCGCCAACGGCTCGGTCGTCACGTCCCAGACGACGTTGCCATCAAACCGCAGCTGGGAGAGCCACGAGCCTTGGACCTTGATGTGGACGCTGGGCTTGGTCCCTTTCTGTTCGTCCATAGTACGTCAATGTGTGCGAGCTACGGACAGCACCTTGAGGTTGTGGATCGAGCCCTTGATGTCGTCGCCGGCCGACCGGCCAAAAATGCCATCGTTCCCATCAAAGTCCAGCGACCCGCCGAGGCCGGCTGTCGCGTCGGCGAAGCGTGCGACGCCCGTCCACTCGACGAGGCGATCGCCGAGCATGACGCCCCCCATCTATGCGAGCACTTCGATCGAATTGCGCGCGTCATGCTGCGTCATACCTTGAGCTGCGGCAGTTCGTACTTTACTTTGCCGTTCGGACACTCGAACGTCGTCGTGCCGTTCTACCGTCGTGCTCAGTATGCTTACCGAAGAAAAGTGGACAGAGTGTCTTCTCCGGTACTTGAAAATTGGTGATCGTGTTGCCCGACATGGACGACTCGAATTCGTACCGCCCATGGAGCGAGTACGAGTCCTTGGGCCCGAGGACAAGGAAGGCTGCGACCGGCGGGTGGTGCCTGCACACATACATCATAAAGTTGGATATCGCACGGATCGAGCCACGTACTGCACGTGCTCCATGTAAATCAGCGTGCCGTCGTGCAAGCTGCTCTCGTACGTTTCGCCCAAGATCGGGTTGAACGGTTTGTTTTGGTTGACGCAGCAGTGAAGACCGCTGACGACAAAGGCCATGACACTGGTCATGCGCTCGACAGCGTCCTTGGTCGTTGCGGCCTTGGTTAAATACGTTGGTGCATACGACCTAGGCATGCACAATAAGGCCATGCGATCATAAATAATGGACTCGTGTACCAGGCTTCCGCGACCCGCTCGAGGAGCGACCGCGGCTCAAAGACGCGAATCGGAAGCGAAAGCCGCACGGCGAGCTTGCCGCTCAGAAGCTGCGCGCCCAGTTGCACCATGACGTCCTTCACGACGCCTTGCTGTTTCTTGAGAACGACCTTGTCTTCGAAGACAAGACCGCCCTTCTTGTTGGATTTGAAACCCGCGAGCCAGTACATGCGATCTTGACCCACGGGTGCGGGCGGTGGTGCAGTCCGCGGCTGAATGGTCGACGAGCTCATATGTGCTTGCGCGTCGATGCAACGACTAGGTAATGGCAGGCGCTTCGAGAAAGGCGATCTTGGATGCGCCATCTTGACCGTTTTTTTAATTGACGACATTTGATTGGGCCGAATTGGCGCCAAAACGCTCGAGGCGTTGGTGTCAACGCCGACGTCGTATTTAGAAAAGAATTCCGTGCTATTGGAGGTGGCGTTCGCGAGAGACAATTACCTCTGCGCCGCACAACCACCCGCAACAAAACCACATAGATTTGAGGACATTGCGTCCATCGCGCAAAAGATATATACCCGGTAGGAATGCATTGCAAAATGGCTAAAGATCGGACCGGTTGCCTACTAGAGTGTATAAGCAAGGGCATAAATGTCCTTGATACTGTACAAGCATTCAAATCAATGCTAGTCTACCAAAATAGCAAAAGTGTTTGCAAGTTACTCACTAAAAAAGTTTTGACATAGTAAAACATATGAAAGTCCTTGTGGCCTAATGGATAAGGCATCGCTCTCCGAAGGCGGAGATTGCGGGTTCGAGTCCCGTCAAGGACTACGGTTTTTATTTTGATCCGTCAAATCGCACATTTGTGCCACTCGTTTTCAAGCCTGTTTTTTGCGACTTTGCACCACCGATAGCGCAAGTATGCTGCGTCGCATCGTTCGCCGCACGCCGCCGCTTCGTGCCTTCTCTAGCCAGGCGCCGCCTGCGCAAGGCTTCAAGGTCACGGGATCCTTCGTCGCCAACGAGGCCAAGGAGGTCGCCAAGCTGCTCTTCGGCGTACGTGCCGCGCCATCCGCACGGTCCGATTTGATCGAGGCCTCGTAGACGGTGACGTTCATCACGGGCACGACGCTCATTGGCGGCTATGCGGTCGAGAACTACAAGCACATGCACCCGCTGACGCCGCCGGGCCAGCTCCTCGACATTGACGTCGATGGCCACAACAGTCGTATCCACACACGCGTGTACCCCCACGCGACATCGTCGGTTGTCGTGGTCCTCGATGGCAGCGCCGGCGAGACGTCGTTCGACTTCGAAAAGGTCGCACCCAAGGTACGCGACGCGCGTCTCGTAGCGACACTACCCTCGGGTCGTAGCTCGCCGAATTTGCGACCGTCGTCGCGATCGACCGCCCGGGCCTCGGCTACTCGTCGCCCGGCGCGCTCCCGCGTTCCGTCGAGACGGTACTACCTTGCATCCTGCGTCATTGGCAGCTCCATTGAATAATGGACATCTGTGTAGATCTCCAAGGAGTACATGGCGGTGCTTGCGCAGCTCGACGTCGCCAACAAGCAGCTCGTGCTAGTCGGCCACGGCAACGGCGGCTACAACATGCGGTACGACCTCATAGCTGGCTCTCGGGCTCGCGGGTAATGGTGATGGATCGATATGGTAGTCAGCTCGCTGCGGACCTTCCGTCGTCGTCGCTCTCGCTGCAATGCGACGGTCTCGTTTTGGTGGACGCGCTCCATGGTATTCGTATATGCATGTTGCAGCCTACTATGGCTCATGACAATCGCTAGAGTCGGTGCGGGGTCGCATGGATGCCATTGCGCCTGCAATCCAAACGGCCTTGGCCAAGCGCGAAGCGAACCCGGCGACGTTGCTCCGGTCCGTCGGCTCTGTATTTTTACATTTTCATGGATTTTCTTGTTTGGTACTAGGTACTCGCACTGGGGCCTTCTCCGGCTCGTGCATTGGATGCAGCAGAAGCGCAACGCGCAGCGCTTCACGCCGGACGCGCGATTGTTTGTCGACTCGTTCGCGCCGTCGCCGCCCCACCGCCGCGGTGTCGCGCACGAAGCCAACGCCGTCGCCCGCACGGAAGATCGCTTCTTGCAGTCGCCGCCGCCGACGCTATCCGTGCCGCTCGTTGTGCTCTCGCACGAGACCACAGACATGTTTGCGACCATGCTCTTCGAGCCCGACGTCGAGCCGGCGATGCTGGCGGCCATGGAGGACGCGTGGAACCAGGGCCAGTGTGCGCTCCTGAGCGTGAGCAGCCATTCGGTCGCGCACCGCATCGTGCAAGGCGCCGACATTCCCCACGAAAAGCCCGAAGAGCTCATCGCGGCCGTGCTTGCTGTCGTCAACGAAGTGCAAGGCAAGCCCGAAGGCGGTGTCGCGACGCTGACGACCTCCGTCTGCGACGTCGCCTCGGCGTAAACGTTGGACGACAAGGCGTGACGTTCGCGAATCGATAACGCAGTCGCTTCATCCGAGACACCACGCTTGGCAACATGCTGTACCTTTTCTTCGTACGACATGAATACCTGTAGAGAAAGGTGCTGTAGAGTTGTAGCGCTTCTTACTAGACTTGTGCGACTCAAGTGCATGTGCAGCATCCAGACGCACACTGGATTATTCTCTTGGCGGTGCAGTGAGGCATACGCGCGTAGATGAGAAGGTCACACGAGTTGCACCGTCGATGCGACCACCGGCACAGAAAAGGACTTGGGCAAAAAGCGAGGCGTAGCCGTCGAGGGGTGCAGACGAAGTTGGTCGATGCAAAGGAATTATACAAGGTTAAATAAACTAGGGTCTACTGCATAGAGGGTGTCGCAAAGGTTCGGGCGAACAATCTGCTTACGCGCGACCGTACAGAACACGGAACCGCTTCAGCAACTGGATCGGCGACGCCACCGACAAGAGGTTGATCACGTACGCCGGCATGTAGCCGCCGAGGTCCATGTGCACAATCAACGTCACCGAGCACGACGTCGGCGTCAGCGGACGAATAATGTACCCCGACACGTGCGTGTGCGCGCGCACAAAGTGCTTGCTGACCGGCACGCTATCATGCTCGACGCTCTTGGTGCCAATGACGATGGAGCCGTCCTCGAGGCGCTGCTCGCTCGTCACGACGAGAAAGTCGCGTGCCGTCGTCGGAAACACCGGCTTGGCCTGCACATACCGGATCGTCTTGGTCTCGGCCGGGTTGAGCGCCTCGATGATGCGGCAGTTGTCGGTCATCTCGTCAAAGATGTGCATCTGCTGTGGGTCGTTGAGCTTGGACGCGAGGTCGTTGGCGCTGCAGTGGACCGTCGTCGTGGCCTTGATGGCGTTCCATGGCGAGTGGGCGTTGATACCGCGGTCGACAGAGACGCCGTCAGTGTCCTTGACGTGGCTCCACGTGGTGGTCTTGTCGGAGCCGTCGTCTTTGGCAAGGATCTCGAAGATGCTTTGGTCGGCGAGGTCGAGGTAGTGGTTGGTCTGGGACTTGTCCATTGAAGACATCTTGCTGCTGCTGCTGGGCTTGAAAAAGGCAAAGTGAGGAAAAGGCAAAGTGAACTTTCCGCCATTTATCGATGGGACGCCGAACGTCGCGGGCTTGAGACAAGGGCTCGTAAACATGCGATGGATGTCGGCACCGGATTGCGTCGCCGCGACACGCGCCACGAGCAATCGTCATTTTTCACATGTGAAAATCAACGTTTCGAATGGCGCGATATGATTGGTCGAGACGTTTGGAAAGATCCGCGAATTCTTGATTTTGTTCTGCAAGGCGCGCGCTGAAGTCGCACGACGACAAGGTCGATCGGTGGTCGCCCAAGAGACAAAGCAGATATGTATTGAGGTCGCCGATCGCAGTAACGGGATGCGCCATCCTCTCAGAGCTTATTGTCGTCCCACGACGGCGGTTGTCGTGCGCCGAATCGGCTGGAACATGCCCCAACCGACAGCATCTATCGCCTCGACAGTGTTGTAGTGCTGTCGGTATGTACTGTGTTGTCATTACTCGGTGTTGTTGATCCATCTCCAATAGTCAAAGAAAGAGTCCACAAGACTTGACGCGAGATTGACATTGTGGAACGTCGCTCAGCACTCTCTGTTGACTTTTGTGAAGGCCAACGCGAGGTAGCAGTTCACATCCAATACAAAACAGTTCCTGTCAGATCCCCCGCACGGAACCTGTATACACGGCCCGTAGAGTTCGACGTGGGCCCAACAACAGATTTACCCCATATCACGCCGTGTAGTTCGCGTGTCGATCGTAGCGAGGACCGACGTTTCCAGTAGCGCTTCAACCCCGAGCACACCAACCCAATTCCGTTCGATTGACTTTTGCAGCGCACTTGTTAGTTGCGCGTTGTGGTGCAGCATCGCCGTCTTTCAACACCGCACGATGCGAAGCGACCTGTCATCGCGTGCTTCTGTCAACACATCGCATGACAATAGTAATCGCGTGGATTGTACAAGTAAATAAATTAACGATTCAAGAGTTACGCGCGACCGTACAGAACACGGAACCGCTTCAGCAACTGGATCGGCGACGCCACCGACAAGAGGTTGATCACGTACGCCGGCATGTAGCCGCCGAGGTCCATGTGCACAATCAACGTCACCGAGCACGACGTCGGCGTCAGCGGACGAATAATGTACCCCGACACGTGCGTGTGCGCGCGCACAAAGTGCTTGCTGACCGGCACGCTATCATGCTCGACGCTCTTGGTGCCAATGACGATGGAGCCGTCCTCGAGGCGCTGCTCGCTCGTCACGACGAGAAAGTCGCGCG